TATGAGTTGTGTGTAATTGTAAATGTATATTTTTTGCAAGTACAGTAGATCTGTTTTCCCCAGATCACTACAGATGCTCAAGTAGTGCAGTCTTCTGTGGCGTTAATGATGGGGATGGAGTCATTAGGTGAGAGGGATTTTTCAGCTCTGTGACCGTCTTTCTGTGTGTTCGGTTACATGCTGACTGCCCGTGTGTTCACCTTCAGTTCTCTAAAATTCTACCTGACACAAGGCAGGAGTGCATAAAGTACTTAGTAGATGAATGAAAGAAAGAGTGAATAAATAAACTTATGTTGGCCCAGTTCCTCTGCTGTCCTTGGATCCTCTGCTGATGTCTCCTTTTTTTTTTTTGGAAAACTTTCTCTAATTCTATCTAGAGTTTTTTTTTGCTTGTACTGGGGTTGGAAACTAGAGCCTCACACCTGCTAAACAAGTGCTGTACACTGAGGTGTGTCTCGACCCTTTTTATTGTATTTTGAGACACTGTCTTGCTAAATTGTCCAGGCTGGTCTTAAACTTGCAATTCGCTTGCCTCAGTGTCCTGAGTAGCTGGGATTACAGGTGTGCACTGCTATTCCTGGCTAGAGTCAGTTTTTATTATCTGCCCAAATCAAACAGAGAAAGACCCACGCCTTAATACATATGAGGTCAACACCTTTTATTAAGCAGATCCCCTGTCTTTTGGTTTGCTTCACATTCATAACAGTCCTGTGATGTGTCATTTTTTCTCTTGCTGGGGAGGACCAAGGACCAGAGAAACCAGTGACTTGCTCTGGGCTCTGTGACCACCCAGCAGGTGATTGGAGGGGGAATCTGGTTCATATCTTGAGCTCCTGCTTCAGGTCCTTTCTTCCCTTCAGCCACCCAACTTCTCCATGGTCCTCTTGTCCCTGGGATGGTCTTGAGAAGGGTCGTGTGCATAGTATTTCAGTCCAGTCTTTCTCCGAGAACTTGTCTTTGTCCACAGGGTACAGGGGAACAGAGTATTACCTTTTTTATGGCCAGGAAAACAGTAATGAAAAATGAACCATCGGTGATATTAATTTAAAAAATTTATGCATTCGGGGTGACTAACAAGCCTGCACCTGCTTGTTTGACAACTTCTAGCAGCTCCCTCCAGTCTCCCTCACTGTTCTCTTCAAATTCTTCTTCCCTGAAGGCACCTGGTTGTTGTGCTGAGCAGTTAAATCAATGTACAGTGGGATGGAGACACGATTTGTTAATTAAAAATGCTGCAGTGCCACTTCAAAGTTCCTAAGAGACGAGCTAGTCTGAGCAGCAAGTCACTGTCGGGGAAATGCTGTTTGCGTTTTTATGTGCTGTGTAAAAGGGTTGTGGGCAATGGAATGAGACAGGCATTTATCAGCTCTCAGGTGAGCGCCCTGTCTCCCCTGCAGGGCTGTCTCCCTTCTGTCCTCCTCTTCTCTCTTCTGCAGGGATGGGTGCCTGTGTTGGATAAATACAAGGTGCACCAGATCCTCTCTCTCTCCATCCATCCACCCATCCATCCATCCCTCCACTCACTGTCACTGGCTCCAAGTGTCTTTCTGTTCAAGCCGCTGACCTTAAACCTTACCATTATTTCTACTTGCACTTTGATAGGTGAAGTCTTTAGAAAGTTCAGCTGTTGGAATTTCCTAGTGAAAGGATCTAGGGAAGCCTCTGCATCTGAGACAATTGGGGCTTTTTCTGACCCGGCCCCCAGTCACTACCAGGGTCACTGCTGCATATTCCATTTTCATTCACCTCCAGAGCACCAGGTGGTAAGGTTTACAGACTTCAGAGTGGGCTTCACTCTTTCCCACTTTCTAGCCTTTGCATGACCTTTCTTTAAAAAGCTTTTTTGAAAAAGCCTTTTTTTCAGGATGACATTCATGCAGCAGGTGAATACGGGATAGAACTGTCAAGTGATGGGTCTCACGCTGTATGAAATTTGTAAACCACCTTCTAAAATACCAATTGAGACTCCCACCAGCGTGGGATGAGAGCCCAGGGTGCGTCACATTGTCCCCAGCACCTGGCATGATTCATGTCTAATTCTGCCATTGTGGTGTGAGCATAGGAGTCCTCAGTCTCTCTTTTGATTGATTCAGGGTTATTCATCTTTCAGGTGGAGGCTCAGAGGTTATTTTCAGAGGTTATTTGGGACAGGAAGAGAGGGGACAAGGGAGGAGGATGGGACAGAGGGAGAGAGAGTGAGAAAGAGAGAAAATATCAGTCCTTTTAAAAAATTTTCATTTAATTGGAGTTTTAATATGTATTGAGGATATACAGAATTTGAAAAATTAAATGGTTATACAAGGCTTGTTTGGTAGGACAGTACTTCTTTGTTCATGCTGTTACCCACTCATCTCATATTAACCAACATCGCCTACTTTTCCCCACTGAGAATTTCTTGCTCTGTAGCGACCATTTTCAACTCTCTCCCGTTACTGTCCTTATTTTGTGCTGTTTGGCCACCAAAAAAACAAGTGCCTGCCTGGCAAGTGCAAGGTCCCAGGTCGAGTTCAGGAAGGCTGGCTAGTGGGCTCCTTGTATGGCTCCTCCCGGTCTCGGCATGGCTGATTCTTGGGGGATGCTGACTTTTCCCATTCTGGATCCTGCATGGCTTGTGTGGCTTTGAAAATATCAGTTCTGGTTTCTCTCTCTTTTCTTATAAGCACTCTAAACTCATCATGTGTTTCCTGCCCTCATGACCCTACCTAAACCTAATCACTCCCCCAAAGCCCAAACTCCAAACTGCTAATGTTGGGTGTTAAGATATAAACATAGTTTGAGCACGGTGGTACATGCCTATAATCTCAGCATTCTCTGAGGCTGAGGTAGGAAGATCACAAGTTTGAACCCAGTCCAGATAAACTTCTGTCTCAAAATAAAAACTAAAAAAGGATTGGGGATATAGTTCAGTGTGAAGGTCCTGGGTTCAATCCCTAGAACCACAAAAACAAACAAATGAACAAATAAACAAACAACCAAAACCCAAACCAAACCAAAATGAAAACACCAAAAAGCCAGCCATATCAACATATGGACTTTGATGGGGCAAAGATACTGAGTGTATAGCATCATCTTTTTTTTTGTCTTTTTTGAGACAGGGTCTCGCTATGCAGTTCAGGCTGGCTTGAGCTCACTTTGTAGCCCAGGCTGGTCTCAAACTCACAACAATCTTCCCACCTCAGCCTCCCAAGTGCTGGGATTACAGGCCCGGCTATAGCATCATCTCTGACCTCTTAGCCTACTGGGTTAGTGAACATCCACCCCATCAGAGTTCTGATTACACTGAAATAGAATTGCCAGTTGTCATGGTTGTTCCTGCTACACTTGGAGGTCCTTGAGGGCAGGGCTTGTGCTTTGCTTGTTGGCCCAGGGCCTGGCGTGTACCTGGGGCTCAGAGGTCATTCCCTGGGTGGAATATTGTCTCATCATCCCAATGTAGAAGGAGACCCTGTTGGATCAATGCTTTCAGTGATCCGAGGCCCCTAATGGCTGAAAGCTCTGTATATAGCCTTGTCTCCAGCATGGAGGGCATGCCTTGCTTCCTGAAGTCTTTGGTCATTTCTGGGTGCTCTCTACTTCCACATTTCCAAAGCCATCCTTGAGGTCTGACCCTAAATTAACCACATTTTCCTAGCTAGGGCAAACACAACTCACAGGAGAAGAGTTTATCTTGGCTCATGGTTTCCAAACAATAAGCAGTGACAACTCAGCTCTCCACGATTAGGAATGCAGACTCTGGAAAATGATAATTTGGGAAGGGGAAGAAAAAAGATGGTAGTAGAGGGAAGCAGGAAGAATCTGACAGGAGGATTAAAACTATAGAGAAATGAAAAGGCAGAACACTGGATAAGGGAAGGGACAACTTGCACTTTCTTCCTGTCCGCTGACTCATGGTTAACAAGAATTAAGCCTTAATCTACAGGACAAAGTGAAAGCACAGGGCTGCAGAGGGCTTCAGGGAGAAATGCAGTAATGGAGCAGACCTGCAGGCGCTAGGACCTTCACCCATTGCTGAGTGAGGCTAGTACCTTCCACACCCCCAGGAGAGGCTGTTTTTGTCAAAGCCAGTCCAGGGAGGGGTTGACTATTTGAATTCAAGGTTACAGCTACTGGTTGGCTTTGTCTCAGGGCTCCCAATGTTACATTTCACAGAGAGGCAGACAGCTACGGGAGATAGCTACGGGGAAGTCATGGTCAGGATAGCAAGAGATGCTAAACTAAACAAAAGGACGGAGCCCCCAACCCCACAACCAGAGGCCAGGTTCGGCCTGAATTGCTCTGGACATACAAGTCTCAGAATTGGTTCCCTTACCCTACTCCTACTACCTGCATGGATCTGGGCCTGACTGCTTTCCTTATCTACCATCTTGGTGAGCATGGACTGATCTTTTTTTTTTTTTTTTTTTTTTTAGTCCATACCAGAGATCAAACTCACGACTGTGCGCTTGCAAGGCAGGCGCTTATGCCGCTGAGCTGAATCCCCAGCCCCTACCATGGAAACTGCTTTAAAATTGGAGATCCTGGAAGAAAAATACTTGTTCGAAATCATAGAGAAATTTCTTGGTGTGTATGTGTTTTCTTTTGTGTGTGTGTTGATTGCTTTTAGTTTTTTTTTTTTTTTTTTGTATTACAATTATGTTTATACAAACTGACAACATGTAAACACAAAACACTAAGAAAATTTTAACATTTAAAACAATGTCTCATACATTGTAATGATTTTCTATAATCTAGCATAAAGGCAAATGTGGTTTAAGAAAAATTTCAATCTATATACAATTATAGAAAAACATTTCATCAAACGACCTATTTCACAGATATCATTCATTTACTATTATGTCCAAAAATCCTGATGTAACATAGAAGCTACGTATCAATTAGAATATTGTCAACAAGGATATAACAACTATAAAACATTATCAAGTAAACTTAAATCATGCATTTCTCTCTGAAAGTAAAATGCCTGGCTTTGACTTAAAACGCAGGCAAAAACAATTCTGAAATAACTTTCTTTAAATAGCTTTTATTTACCAATCTAGGGCAATGTGTGTTTTTCCCAGCTATGTATGCAGACTGTACCTCATGGCAAAATGATTCAGTTACTACAAAGAAGCAGAAAAAATACAAAATAACCAGTTAAACTAGAGAAACCATAGAGACATCAAACCCCTTCCAGCAAGTAAGAAGGTAAGAGGTTAAAGTGAAGCACAAAATCTCAGTGCTAAATCCTACATCAACACTTGAGTTTGGAATTATAATTAATAACTTATACTATTCTTTTCTTTGGGTAAAAAAGACTTTAAAAAGTGTTTCAGAATCATCACGGTAACTTCAAATCATTCTGCCATTAAGACTGCTACAAAGATTGCTTTGTTTTCTAGACCCACAATTTGATACCAAGCTCTCAACACAAAAGGCCTAGAGAAGACAGACCTCACAAGTCACTGAGTTAAACTGTTCTAATGCAATGGAGCTACTAAAATACATATTTGTTCTGAAGAAAATTTACAAAACTAGCAATCTCTTTTTCCCCAGAATTACAAAAGATAAAATATATGAATTAGCACTCTAATGTGATCACAGAAAGACAGCAAACTAAAAAAAAAAAAAAAAAATTACAGACTGTAACACTCCCTAATTCATTTCTTGAAGTCTTAATACTTCCTATTTTGAAAAATAAGCATATCAACAACATCCTTAACATCCATTATGGTCTCTAAGGATGAGTAATTACCTCTGTGGTTAGGGCAAAATTAGTTTACTACTTTAACATGTTTTGTTTTGCTTTGTTTTGGTTTGGTTTTAGTTTTGTTTTGTTTCGTTTCGTTTCGTTTCGTATTGTTTTTGGTACTGGGAATCGAACTCACCATCTCAAGGTTGCCAGGTAGGCACTGTGTTACTAAGAACCCTGACCATTTACACATATCTTAAAACAAAAACTCTAACCCAAGAGTTCACTTGACTGTTGTTCTTTTAAAAGTAATAAAACATGTCAGAAAAAAAATATCTTGGAAAACTTCTGAAATACCAGAAAGATGCCTGGCAGGTTGATACTTTTACTCCTCCTCCCCTGTTCACACTTTTTCTTTTAAAACTTAGAGGTGACAATTCACATAAGATTAAAATACTTTCATTAAAGTAAGGACTTCTCAATGCTTCCCCCTCCATAAAACTAAAAAGCTCAGTGGAACTCAGCGCCACTAACTAAGAGGCTGCTTAACACAGAACTCAAACTCAAAAGGATTTTACGTATTTTCACACACTACGCTTCACACAGGGAGTCCTGACTTCCATGCACCTGATGTGGAGTTTCAGACTCACACACATTGTGTCAGCTGAACACGAAAAGAGCCCCCCGCTTGAGGAAAACACTCTTCTATGTGTCCTTGTCAGCTTATGTTTAAATAAACCACATTACTGAATCAAATTTTAGACCATAATCAAGAGCCAGAAAAGGAAAATTACAATGTGGATGGGTAGACCAGTTCCCTTTCCCAGGGCATCTGCTCCAAGGGACCCCTCAGCAGGAGACAAGCAGCACAATCAGACTTCATACTGACTCTTCCTCATTTCCCCTTTTCAGTTGGGTGATTTATTTTTCTCTGTAATAAAGCAAGTAGTATTTCAGGGGGTCTGGCAGAGGGAGGCTCAGGACCTTCTGACGCAGGAAGTTCACGGGAGGATCTGGCTTGGCTTCTAGTGAAGTTTTATCTTCTTCCCTCCGTTCCTCTTCCAAGTCTTCACAGCTGTTGTCGTCAGAGGGGTTGGAAATACGACTGGCAAAGACTTCTTTGTCCAAAAAGACTATTGTTTCCATTTGACGGCGGCGGACCCTCCTTCGTTTAAATCTGGGAGTGTTCTTCAGTCCATTTCCACTTTTGCTCAAAGCTTCCTGATGAATGATCTTTTTAATGGTACCCCGGATGGCAATGCGGGCCAAGTCCTGGAGGCTGCGTACAGCAAGTGGTGGAAGCTGGACAAGTCTGGACTTTCCTGACTCTGAGTGACAGGGCTGGACCAGAGGGGCAAAGGAAACAGCCAAAATCTTTTTCGTTTCCCAAGCAGAAGGGCCTGTGCGCGTTATCTTGGTCAACTTCTCTTCCAGAGGCATGACAAGGATTCCTCCAACTTTAAGAAGATTTTTCATGTATTCCTCATGTTCCTTCTGCACACCAGCCCCACAGTACACTCGATCATACTGAGAACAATCTGGAGAAATCTCCAGGCAATTGCCAGTAACAAAAGAGGGTTCACAGAAGTCAAACTTGTCAAAGCTGTCACTTGTTCTGATGAAGAAGTCCAGTTTCTGTTTTGCGTACTCTATCACATCAGAATGAAGCTCCACTCCATGGTTCACACCAAAAGGACCTAAAATGAGGCCAACCATGGAGCTGAGGTATCCAGTACCACTGCCCAAGTTCAGAAACGAAAGCCCTGGCTGCAAATCCAGGGCCTCCATCACTTCTGAGTAGATGCACGGGGCTGAGAGGTGAATGTTTCCATGCTTCCACGCCAAGTCTTTGTAGGCATTTTCTTTAAACTCCTCCAGGTAGTAATCTGCTCGATCAATAGCTCTGAAGGCCTGTTCCACCAATTCTGTCCGTATATACTGTGCTTCCTTCAAATTATCGATCAGTTCGTCATTGTCCTCACCAGCACTCACAGCACCGCCCATGTTCAAGATCAAGCTCAAGACAGACTGCGCTCGCGCTCCGTGGCCCGCGGGTCAGGCTGCGACGGCAGCTCGCCCGCCCGGCTCGTCCTCCGCGTCCGCGGCCTGCCGCTTTTAGTTTTTTTCTGCTTTTTTTTTTTCTCTTCTTTTCTTTCCTCTTCTTTTTCCACTAATTTATTTATTGAGGACAGAAGAGTTTTTGTTTGTCCATCTTCCTTGCTTCTTATCTCTTTTTCTTCTTTCCTTTTTCTTTATTTTTTCCTCTTCTAACTTTTTTCTCTGTTTACTCACCGTATAATTTCTTTATTTTTCTCTTATATTTTATTTTCATTAGTTTTCCTCTTACTTTAACCTAATTCTATAAACATCCTTTTACACCCTAATAAGATACTTTGTATCACTGCTCTCTCCTCCTCATATTATAGCGTTATATGACCATAACGTTTTGTTAACCTCCGGTACTTAGTTAACTCTGTAAAATTACTGTTGAATTCTTTTTTACCATTAGCAGAGATATAGCTGTTGCATTTAGTACATATTAGCTATAAATCAATACCTGGGTTGTCTTAATGTTCACACCGTAATTGTGGATTTCTTTTTCCTAGGAATAATTCATTCATGATGGGGCTATAATTCATACGTCTTGCTGCTGGTGGATCTGATTTGAATTTAATCATTCTCACTGGCTCGAACCACTGGTCATACATGAATATCTAATCAGAGGGAGGCTTGATCTGCTTCTCAGGGAGACTTTGATTATGATAAGCAAAGAAAGGCATTGATTTAGTAGACCAGATATTATCATATTACAGTCCCTTAAAGAAAACATTAAAATAGTATAAAAAATTGTAAGACAGTTAAGTTGTGGGACAGCTGTTGTAAATGCATATATATAGACACCAGCATTGGGTTACTTGTAAGATTTCCATGTTAAAATTTAAATAATTAATTGTTGATAAACTATTCACAAATATAAACACATTTTAAAAATGTAATAGAATAAATTTTGATTATAATAATTTAAAAAATTGGTATGAATAGTATTAATATTTACAAGTGGACAGGAATTACTCAAATTCAAGCAACTGACTAGATTTGGCCCATTTATAGACATCTATTAATTTTATTAGTAAAAAGATTGATAAAAGTGAATAGATCAGTTTGTGCCAGCAGTGGTATAAGCCCCCTATGGGACAGTTGTGTATGTGATTCAAACTGGTGGGATTCCATGAAGAGCGGTACATAATTGGTTCTTAAAATTTTTTTTTTAATTTTAAAGAGGATGAAACAGAATAAAGCTAATCAAAACAAACCAGTGTAAGAGATATAGACTTCAAAACATTACAAAAATCAACAATAGTTACCATAATGCCTTTTGATGTCTTCAAAATAGCTACAGATAACTTTGGACATAGTAAAAATCAAACAGAACAGAATAGAATAGAAATGATAAAAACAAAACAATTAATGCAATAAAGGATTTCAAAGCAAGCCATAGTAAATCCAAAATTGCTACCATAATATATCTTTGAAATATCTGCTCCTGCCATTGGATTTAATATAATTAAACAAAACAAAAGAGAATAAAACACAGTCCAACCAAACAATGGAAATGAGATAGGATCTCAAAACAAGACCATAGAGAATCAACAATGGCTACAACCCTCAGAAGGAGATCCCTCCTAGATGCCATACTGCGTGCCACTATCCTCTGAACCCATGATCAGACCACTGGCCCTAGACCTGCGCTGCTAGTGAAACACCAAAGCACCACAGGCATCCAATTTCACTTCACCTCCATAGCTATCATCACAGCTGTGTTACTCCAGATAAGCTGGTTGCTTGGGGTCGGGGCAGGGGGATTGATACTTCTTATTTGCCAACCTGCACACTAGAAGGGTGTGGGGTCTGGCTGTTCCTAGCCCAGTGGCGGCTTGCATGTGGTGCTGGTTCCTAGACTTGGGTTGTGTGCTGGTGTGGTCTTGTTCTCTCTTCCTTTAGTCTGCAAATGGTGCTGACTCATGGAGAGAGGCTTGGGTGTAGCTGTTCCCAGCCCAGTGGCAGTCCACATATGGTACTAGTTCCCAGCCGTAATTGGTTCTTATGTTAATGTCCAATTTGTCTTGATGATAATACTATAGCTGATTTGGTTGATATTAACAGAGTTGCATAACTATCATTATTTCTCTTTAAACCAATAGTCAGCTTACCTGTGTGATAACAATACTAGAGTGCACTTCTAGAGAGTTTGGTTCTTGGGATAACTACACTACATTCTTGTCTATTAAATTAACCAAGGTGGTCAGATCTTGTGGCTGTGGCAAGGACTGTAGTCAGCCATGCCCAAAGTACATCACCACAAAAGAACTAAAGAGATCTCTACATTAGCAACAAAGTGTTTAGATTGTAAGCATCCACAAACTTCAGCACAAACCAAACCAACCAACCAAACAAAACAACAGAAACATGAGAAGAGAAGGCAACAAAGTGCTTCTCAGAACTCCCAGCTCTCTCAAAACCAATCCAGGGGGCATCAATGAGCTGAACAGCATAAGCCACCTGGTATAAATAACTGAAAGGATAACAAGAGGTTAGAAAACCAATCAAAGAGGTAATTAGTAGGATTAGGGGAATCTAGAACTAAACAGATAATGGAAGTAATAACCAAAAAGATGCAGAAGCTTTCAGAAGATACTAATAAAAACTAGATGTACTGAACAATGTGATACAAAACATGAATAATTTATCAAAGAATTGAGCCCATGTCAACGTTTCAATCTTGAAAAGGTTTAATTCAGGACATTAAAGCTCATTGAAAATATGGGCAGCAGAACTGCCTAATTGTAAGGATGGAATTTCAGAACTATAAGACAATGATCAACTACTCAAAGACAGTTTAAAAACAAGAGAAAATGAACAGCTGCTAGATGATGCAAAGATGACTAAGAATAACTGGAATAAGTGAAAAATTAGAAAACAGTGCAAATGGCATAAAAACTTGTTCATGAAAACCATGGCAGAAAACTTCCCAAACATAGGAAAAGATAATTGATTATATAGGATCTCAAATAGCCATGACCAAAAGAAAACTCCATACCACATTATACCATACTTACCGTACCAAAAGTCCATCACAAAACAAAATCTTAAAAGCTGTTAAGGAAGGCAATGGATCACAAATACAGGTAAACCCACTGGAATTATAGTAGATTTCTCTACAGAAACTTTAAAGGGCAAGAGGGCCTGGAGTAAAGTATTTCAAGACCTAAAAGATAACAACTTCCAGTATTGACTTATGTAGTCTACAAAAACTTTCCTTCAAAGTTTATGGAGAAATAAGGTTTTCCAGGGAAAAGGGTATTACATGAAATTCATGACCACTAAACCAGTATGAAATATTCTCAAAGATATCGTAGAAAAAGAAAATGAAGTCAATAATGCCAGTAAGACAAAAAGAATAAATACACCTGGCAGGATGAGCAGCTAAGGAAAAGGGAATAAACAACAAGAAAAATGACAAGAATAATTCAGCATCTCTTTGTAATCAGTCTCAATGCAAACTGGCTCAATTCCCCCAAAAGACATAGATTGGCAGAATAAATCAAGACACAAAACCTAATGGAGATAGATATGGTGGCATATGCCTGTAATCCCAGCACTCAGGATGCTGAGGAGGGAGCTTCACCACAAGTTCAAGGCCAGCCTGGGCTACAGAGTGAGTTTACGGCTAGTCTGAGCTACACAATGAGGCATTCTCTCAAAGCAACCAAAAATACACAAACAAATAAGCAAAAAAACCCCAATGATATGAGGCATACAAGAAAAACACTTCTGTTAAAAAGAAACTCACAGGGGCAGGGATTTAGCTCAGTGGCATAAGCACCTGACTGGCAAGCGCAAGGTCATGAGTTCCATCCCTGGTACCTACAAAAAAAACAAAAAACAAACAAACAAAAAAAACTCACTAAAAGAATAAAAAACAACATTCCATGCAACAGAAACCCAGAAAAGAAGAAGTACCCTAATTTCAGACAAGGTTGGCTTTCTAGACAAGACTGATCAAAAGAGACAAAAACAAGTCACTGTATGTGGTCAAGAGAACAATTCAACAGAAGAGAGAACAAATATAAACATACATGCACTGAATACCTGCATACCCAACTTCATAAAACAGACCCTAATGGACCTAAAAAAACCAGATAAATAAATATAACTGTAATGGGGGAACTCAGTATCTGACTGTCACAAATGGACAGATCAATGAGACAAAAAATTAACAAAGAAATGTCAGAGTTGAATAACAAATCTTCAAACAAATGGACTTAGTAGATTTAAGTTTTTTATTTTAAAGAGAATAGAATAAAGCAAAATAAAACAGAATAAAACCAGTCAAAACAAAACAATAGTGTAAGTGATAAAGGATTTCAAAACAGGACAATAGGAAATCAACAATAATGCCTCTTTTGTCTTCAAAATAGCTGCCCATACCATCAGACTTAGTAAAATCAAATCAAATAGAATAGAATAGAACCATGAAAAACAAAACAATGAACGCAATATGGGACTTAAAAAATAAAATAACAGCAAATCCAAAATGGTTGCTGTAATATATCTTGTTATCTTAGAAATGCTTGCTCATGTCATCAGATAAAACAAAATCAAACAAGAAAAAACAGAATAGAACCAAATTAACAATGCAGAACCTCAAAACAAGACAATAGGGAATCAACAATGGCTACCACCCTCAGAAGGAAAGCCCCCATAGATGTCACACCTTGTATTGTCATCCTCTAAACAGATGATTGGACCACCTGCTTCAGCTCTGAAAAGTCAATGAAAACTAAACACTGTAAGCACTAAGTTGTATTCCACTTAACTAGCCGTCATCTCAGCCTGTATTTCTCTGGATCAGCCAGTTGCTTCTTGGGGTGGAGGGCCTTTGGCTCCCCTTGCCTCATGGCCCGCATGCCAGAAGGGACTAGTATTTGGTTCTCCTGTCTGCAGCCCATACATGGTGCTGACTCACAGGAAGTGGTTGCCTTCTTGTTCTCTCTGTGGTCTACATATGGCGCTGACTGGACTTTTACAGAGTACTCTATCCAAAAACAGCAGAATACATTCAATCAG